CGATCCTCACTGAGTGCCCCATACTTTCGGCCTTGTGCCACATCTAAGCTACGCTTGGAAAATCACTATAGGAAGACCGATTGGGAACCTCGAGGTGGTGTAATGGTTAGCAAGCTTGTCTCGCTAGAACAATTACGACTGAATAGTGAGTTCGATCCTCACTGGGTGCCCCATACTTTCGGCCTTGTGCCACATCTAAGCTACGCTTGGAAAATCACTATAGGAAGACCGATTGGGAACCTCGAGGTGGTGCAATGGTTAGCAAGCTTGTCTCGCTAGAACAATTACGACTGAATAGTGAGTTCGATCCTCACTGGGTGCCCCATACTTTCGGCCTTGTGCCACATCTAAGCTACGCTTGGAAAATCACTATAGGAGGACCGATTGGGAACCTCGAGGTGGTGTAATGGTTAGCAAGCTTGTCTCGCTAGAACAATTACGACTGAATAGTGAGTTCGATCCTCACTAGGTGCCCCATACTTTCGGCCTTGCGCCACATCTGTGCTACGCTTGGAAAATGACTAGGGCACCTCGAGGTGGTGTAACGGTTAGCAAGCTTGTCTCGCTAGAACAATTACGACTGAGTAGTGAGTTCGATCCTCACTGGGTGCCCCATACTTTCGGCATTATGCCACATCTGAGCTACGCTTGGAAAATGACTAGGGCACCTCGAGTTAGTGTAATGGTTAGCAAGCTTGTCTCGCTAGATCAATTACGACTGATTAATGAGTTCGATCCTCACCGAGTGCCCCATACTTTCGGCCTTGTGCCACATTTGAGCTACGCTTGGAAAATTCACAATAATGGCATCAACTGTAAAGACGTGTATTTTAAAGATTAAAAGTGTCATGTCGGGCTCGTGTCATTATTTAAATGGGATACTCACTTCATTATACCATTAACCCAAATTTCTTCGTCATCCACTCAGATATTCTTGCTTAGATTTCTGGGACAGGCTGAACTAAGTTTATGCACTGGTGCGATTTTAAAACATACATAGCCAGGGCGGAAATTCGAACTCACTTCGTCGATACCGTTTCTCGCAAAGATAAACATTAAACTAGAAACATTTCCTGCGACCTCATTGCTCTGAAACGGAAGCAAAGCGGCTTTAATCGACGGACATTTTCTCTTTCCAGTCAAAGTTGAAAATGTGAATTTCAAGTGACAAACAGCAGACTGTTTCTCATTTGAGCGCCAAATTGTGTTGCATTTAATATACAGGGTGTCCCCCACCAAATTGACACCATTTAATAGTGAATATCTGCGCAACTGCCTATCCCAGGCAAACAAAATTAAATAGGCTTTATATTGAACAATAAAAATATTTATTAATCAAAACTCAAACAACGTATTCAAAGGGTTGTAGATATTATAACCGATTACATAAAGCTTCACAAATGTTCAACATGCACACTATCTGTGACATGTCACACATCAAGTCGGTCGTCCAGCACAAAGAAATTCACAATATTGATCCATATTTTTTTAATACAATACCAATGGCTTTCCATACTTCATACTTCTCCAATTCACTCTCGTGTGATCATGTGTGACGTCATGAGATGCGGTGCGATTTTCGCTTCTAGCGTCTTATATGCACGTGTTTATCGTTGCTTAGAAATCATCTATGTAAACAATGACAGACTATCATCACTGTCTTGTCCGTATATTGCTTAATATGTTGTAATTGACATCTTTGATAATGGCTTATGTAAGCCGAAAGCTTAGATTGTATTAAAAAAAATATGGATCAATATTGTGAATTTCTTTCTTCGTTCAACGATAATGTTATTAAACTTATCAGACGTTACGAAAAAAAATTACATAAAATAAATAGACGACACATGTCTATATTATTTAATGAAACGTATATATATATATATATATATATATATATATATATATATATATATATATATATAAAATGTGTGTGTATATATATATATATATATATATATATATAAATATGTTTTGTTGAATGATATAGACATATTTTATAAAAAATATCTCTAATAGAGGGCGTTTACATGTTTAAAATATCATGATGACAACAGAACGCAGGTTTAAAAACAAATAGCATTACTACGGAAACACATGTTTAAGTGTGTCTTACAGTTTATCGCATGTTTGTCTTTATAATTTACCCACTGCACATGATCTTAGAAAAGGTCGAAAATGTTGGATTAGCAAAAAACTGCGACGCATTCCTTGATGGAATTCATTTCAGTATCAACAAACTGATGAGATAACTAAAAAGGATCAATATTAACATAAATACGCACATATATATATATATATATATATATATATATATATATATATATATATATATATATATATATACTATTCAGCAAAACATGTTTAAATAAAAATATGCTACATATATACTTTAATTAAAATTTTTCAAAAGGTTTAAAAAAATAACAACTAATTAATCAATAATTTATTCTCCCTTGTTGTTTACAACTTCTTCTCAACGTTCAACAAGATTTTCAATAGCTCGTTGATAGAAGTCACCCTGTTTCGACTCGAAAAAATGAATCCAACCAAGCCCTCAATTCTGCACCAGTATTGAACGAAACTCTTCGCACAGCATTTGAATGAGATCGAAAGAGATGGAAATGTCACATCGGGTGAGTACGGCAGATGTGGCAGCATTTCCCAGCCATGCGTTTGAATGGATCCCTTGGTCATATTGGCGATATGTGGGTGGACTGTTGAGTCCTTCCATCTGTTGAACATAGAGTTCCACGTTGACCCTTTGGTTCCGTACAAGCAATTCATATTGGATAAATCCCTTCACAGTCCCACCATACGCCCAGCATCATTTTACGCGGATGAAGATCTTGTTTCACGCGCGGTGTCGCATGTTTACCGGGGCTAAGCCATCCCTTGCGCTGCTTCAGACTGATGTACAGGCAATATTTTTCGTCAGCAGTAACGATTCGGTAAAGAAATCGTTCCTTGTGTCCATGAGTTGAGCGCTGACGAGCAAACAAACCAGCAGAAATTGTGGCTCGTTGATTTTTGTTGTTGTCACTTAAAGTATGCAGAATCCATTCTCAACACTCTTGAATCTTTCCAATCGAGTGAAGATGCTTCTCTCTTGCAATGTGGGAGCATTCCATTTTCTCTGCCAGATCCTTTGTCGTTTAACGAGAATTTTCGTCCAGAAGTTGGTTTAATCGCCCTTCATCGAACTCAACTGGAAGGCCAGAACGAGGTGCGTCTTTGATGTCAAAATTTCCATTTTTCAACTTGGCATACCAGTCACGAGCGGTTCTTTCACCTATGGCACCCTCTACCTACAAAGCACAAATGTCACGAGCAGCTTTCTTCAGCCTTAGAACCTGGATTAAAAGTAAACAGAAGGTGTCGAAAATGCTCATTTTTCTTAACTTGGCATTCCATTTTAATGATCTGAAAATAAACATAAATTAACTCAAATTAACTCGACAAAAAGAAAAGAAATAGATTCCAAAATTTAAATGTATGTATGTATATATATATGTATATATATATCAGGCACGTACCGTCGGTAATTACTCAGAGTAGGCAGATTATGACCTTTATGTAGTAAATCTACAAAAAAATATTTTGCCGTTTATTCATAATAATAAGAATAATCTGTATAATTTTGTTAGATTAGATGCATATTGTGCCGCAGAAAGAAAATGCAGATGCTGAACTATTTTATGCACTGTAGGTACTGCCCCTACCTTGCCTACCTAGTGGTACGTTTCCGATATATATATAAATCCAATCGAAAATTTGTGGAAACTATTGAAGTTACGAATTCATAAAAGAAATCCATCGAATTTTAACAAATTGAAGAAAATTTGTGAAGAAGAATGGGTCAAATACCAACAAGTACCTGCAAGAAACTAGTTGAAGACTACGGGAAACGACTGGAGGCTGTGAAGCAGAACAGAGGCTACTGTACTAAATATTAGTAAAGTGTGTTAAATACTTTTGCATATGGGTTATTTTATTTATTGTTAATAAATGTTTCTCAAAACAGCGGTTTTAAATTTTCCTTTTATGTTTTGATCGACAATGTTCGTTTAAATATTTCCTATAAGTTTCGTTGAAATTGATCTGTTATTTAATTGAGATATGTAAGAAAAACCAATGTGTTAAATACTTTTGCTACCCACTGTATATATATATATATATATATGTATTAAGACATTTTTTATGTTGATTATTTACATTATTCGGACTATTTTCCTCATCTTTGTCGCCATATTTATTACAACGTTTGTACACTCCGGCCTTCTTCAGGTGGTTGGAATATCGAACTGAACCCTTTATTTCGCTCACTGGGGTAGACTGTTCGTGTTCCACGTGCCATGTTTAATGGATGTCAGTTATCAGTTATCTCCTGTTAATTTCCCTCTGCAAGTTCTCCACTGCCTTAACCGGGTATTGAACTCACACTCTTTGGGACATGTCATTGGATCTAACCAACGCCTTTATCCACTGTGCCATGTGTCCTTGTGGATTCATGGCACAGTGGATAAAGTGGAGGAAAATGCAGAAGGACAATACAGTTGCTGAATTATTTTATTCACGATAGGTACTGCCTCTACCTTGCCTACCTAGTGTTACGTTTCCGATATATATATATATATATATATATATATATATATATATATATATATATATATATATATATATATATATATATATATATATATATATATATATATATATATATATATATATATATATATATAGAAGAATCCATGTAGAACTCAATGTCCAGGACAGAGTAAGAATATAATGTAAAAGGTTCAAACACTAATATTCCATGGTTATAATTTATTACATTGGAATCGTAATCACGATCTAATTCATTAGACCTACAAATTCAAAAAGACATTAATATATATATATATATATATGTGTGTGTGTGTGTGTGTGTTTGTCCCGGTTCATGAAGAGTGCAAGTTATTTACAAAACTCAGTGTAAATGATATTTAAAAAGAACATATTTAAAAAGAAATTATTATTGCAATATATAGATAAATAGATAGAAATAGAGAGAGAGAGAGAGAGAGAGAGAGAGAGAGAGGGAAAGGGAGATAGAAAGAGTAAGATAGATAAATTAATAGATAGATCTATAGGTAGTTAAACTAAAATATACATATAGACTGAGAATGATGGATATGTATAAATATATATATATATACATAGAGAGAATAAGATAGATTGTAAAATGGATAGATTTGATAAAATAGAAGTCATTAATTTTTATCTATATATATATATATATATATATATATATATATATTAAACCAATTCCCCCCAAGCAAGGCGAGAGTGCCACTAGCACCCAAGGGGTTACAGAGGATTGAGAAGAAGACTAAAGAGGCGTGTTTGAGGAAAGGATACAGAGAAGGACGGTAAACACAAGCTCAGGGTGTTCTTTGTCGATTGACAATACACTTGAATATTTTAAGATTAAGGGGAAGGGAGTTCCACAGATGGGAAGTGCGAGAGAAGAAGCTGTTTGAGAAGAAGAGACAGTTATATTTAACTGTTTTGACAGAGAAATGGTGGGACCGAGATACCAGCCTGGACACACGTTTAAATTTATGTAGTCTGGGAACCAATACAAATAGCTCGTCGGAACAGTTGCCGTGAAAATATTTGTAGAAAAGACAGTGGAAGGCCACAGCACGTCTGTGAGAAAGCGATTGTAGACAAGATGCCAGATCAAGACCTATCATTTTGCATATTCGTCTCTGGGTTTTGTCAGGGACCTCGAAATTTACAGCAGGAGCACCGGGCCATATATGACAGCAATATTCCATGCAAGGTCGGTTGGTTGAATTACAGATTTGAAGGATGGACTCAGGCGAGAAAAATTTTCTGTCCAGACAAAGAGAACCAACTTTCTTTGCGGTAAGCGAAGCTATTGCTGCGCTCTCAAACAAATGGGAATCATTCATTCTGATGGGAAGTAGGGATATATATATATATATATATATATATATATATATATATATATATATATATAAAGGGTGTTTCATTAAGACGGATCAAAATCACCAGTAAATTAAACAGTATTATTGGTGAAAATTTATTTATTTGTCTATTGGATCATGTTATTTAAGTCATTAAGTTCTGTCTAGACAAAGAGAACCAACTTTCTTTGCGGTAAGCGAAGTTATTGCTGCCCTCTCAAGCAAATGGGAATCATTCATTCTGATGGGAGGCAGGAAGATATATATATATATATATATATATATATATATATATATATATATATATATATAAAACACGTAAATTTCAGAAACACGTTATTCAAAAAAAATTTCGCTTGAAGATGGAACAGAGCTTATTTTAACTCAATCTAATTTAAATAATTATATTGAAGTTTTCGGCTCTTGTTTTGAAACGTGGGACTTCTTATGTCGCGATTTGGAATCATATTTTTAAATAAATAATTATATTAATGCACTACTTTTGTATCGAGCACTATTTTTTTAAAAATAATAACTAAAATACTAAGGGACTTTGGATTATTTACCTAACCAGTTCCTTCCTATTTTCTATATATTTTCACACACACACACACACACACATATATATATATATATATATATTAATGAAGAGTTTGCATAAAGTTTATCGGCGGGAAAAGTGGAGTTATATCCAAAGGCATATTGAAATTGTGAAAGATGCCTTGCAAAAGCTAAGCAAAGTATTAAAAAACAGGAATATTTCGTTAGAAGCATATGTTATATCCTACCTTCTATATTGCTGTGAAAGTAGTACAATTTCATTAAGGATCAAAAAGAGTCAACGTAGAAGCAGTTTCAAGAATACTATGACGGGATCAATGTGAGCAGTGATGAAATCGTATAGAAAACGGATGAATTCACTAATTTATAATTTTTACGGCTTCTCAACCTTTATGGAAACGAAAAATGGACACCTTTAGTTATAATCATAAAGTTGCATTTGAAATTTCTAATTTCATAATGAAGGTCTGGCGAATTTGAATCTCACATGACATATTGAAAGACAGACGTCAGATAGAATCTACCTAAAAAGAATGGGGAAATGAATGGCTACAAAGTAGGAGGGTTACTCAACTCTCCCGTACTCATCATCGCAAAGTACTCTAAGGAAGATGGAGGTTACAGCTCTCATAAACACTAGCCGTTGGTATTGTGTTTCCCGTAACAAATCGGTCTCTACAGGATGAATTTGCCCCAAGCCTAGATAGTTCTGAATTCAGAGATGTACTTCCTCTAGACTGGCTGTTAACCAAGGCTAAATACACCAGCCTGTCCTACTATTTACCAATAGCTTTTTTCCAAGGTTATTTGTGCGAATGTAAATGAATGTAGCGAAGTCGAATTTGAACTCGGCTCGCATTCCGAGCCGTTATCAACTACACCCCCCCGCACATCCTAGGAGGGATAGGAAGTAGACAGATATTGTTTAGAGCTACAAGGGATAGAACATTTGAGCCATATTCATTCAAGTCCTGATGGCTCACCACATTTAGGTGGGTCTGGTGCTCCTGTTATATATCAAGAGATTCTGCTTCTTGGTTATGACCTGTCATTTTGGATTCAGTCACATTCCCTCCCGCCGTAATGTAGCTTCCATCTTCCTTTTCTATAAATACCTTCATGGTAAGTATTCTGATGAGCTTTCCTCTATGGTACGTAGACTTTATGAATAAGCGCAGTACAAAATTAGCAACAAGGTCACATCATTTTACAATTGAATTGGAAAAATGTAATCGTAATTCTGTGTTAATTGTTTCTTCTCTCGTACTTACCGCTTGTGGAACTCACTTCCGGCTTCTTGCTTCCAAGTCAGCTTTGATCTTCAGAAATGTAAATGCAATATCAATCGTTATCTTCTTTCCTCTTAATTATTGATCTTTTCATTTTATCTCCGTTTAATATATGTACCTCCACGAAATCGCTAAAAAAAGAAGCATAGCTTGATGAAAAAGACGCCAACCTTGACGAAAACAAAATTTTATCGTCTAAATATTTGTTATTATCAAGAGAATAGATCAAAGTATTTTGGGGTTATTTTTTTTTTACATTTTTTAATCGTTTCTAGTACGTCCGAAATTTTCGTTAAAAATCTTGTTTTTTTTTTTTGAGTTATAAAAAAACTGGAAATCTCACTTTAAAATTCTTTTAAAAATCAATTATCATTTTTTCAAAACTTATTTTAAGAAAATCAGAAATTATAATGTTTATTTAAAATATTTTGAACCAAGCTTAACTTAGCTTCTTCGCCGAAAAGATGTAATTTGAAAATAAATTAAAGCAGGTCATAAACTTTCGCGTCACTTGACAGGTGATGAATGACACTACTTTAATAGATTTTTAACTTCTGATATACGCTAACACACGTGTCCTAATGGTTTCATTGCTTTACTTGAGGTGAAATGATGTTGAGTATTTCCAAATATGGCTTCTGATCAAGGTATGAATTAAGTACAAAACCTATATTTCATATTTCCGTTTTGAAATTCGACAATCACTGAAAGAAAGAATTACGTCACACAGTCTTCTTTTTATTGACTCGGCCTTGGAATAAATCGAAAATTTATGTACTTATTAAATTTCTACTTGTACCCTTTGGAGAGAGGCGTATAGTGTCTATTTCACATAATTGTCTTTTCGGCTTACAAACAAAAGGTCATCACCTCATCCCATTATAAACATGAATAAACAGGAGGGTTATATCTATCCACACGGACACGTGTACGTTTGTGCGTCCTTCTTTCATATTGATGTGTCTGTGTGTGTATGTGAGTGTGTGTGTAATTGTGTCCGTGTGTAAGAAGGAGGGCCTAAAATTTTCCTGTAAACGATGTCAGCAAAACAGATAAAAAAACGTTGCCAGTTTGTAATACGAGCCTCGTTGTGACAACATGCACACGTGACCGGAGATACTATCTTTTCACGAAGCTGCGATATCTGCAAAAACGTTCAGGACATAGCAAAAATAATAATAATAATAATAATGATAATAATAATAATAATAATAATAGTGAAATACAACGCATAATTAAGGCGGGAAGAAAATAGCTATTAGATCTGAATTCTTATGTTACATTTTTATCACCCAGACGATAAATTTGCTCGCGTCTCTTTCAGATACGTGAGTCAAAGGTGTTGTTTAGTGAATGCTATTTTGATATTTCAGTTGAAATATAATCTTTTCTGATTAGTAATTATCTTCGTATTTTTCTTTGTTCATTCTTTTGCACCGTGCTAAAAATTTAATAAATTCGTGAGTAATTGGTAAAACCCTTTTCCCATAATTTATTATTGTAAGGAAAAAGTAAAATTATGTCATTGACAAGTAAGGAAGATCCTAAAATTTTGTCGCCTATTTATTCAACATAAATACAACAGTTACAGTGCACACAATAACCGTATTGGATAGAGCAAGTTTTCAGCTGAAAAACACATAATGTTTTTTTATTTATCACCACAGTCGTCTTCTTTTTCTTCTATTTGTTCTTCTTTTTCTTTTTCTTGTTGTTCTTAATTTCTTGTTGTTCTTTTTCATGTTCTTCTCCTTCTTGTTTTTCCTGGTCTTGGTCTTCTTCTTGTCATTTTTCTTGCTCTTGTTCTTATCCTTTTCTTTTTCTTCTTCGTAATGTTTTTCTTCTTCTTGTTGTTCTTTATGTTATTTTCTTCTTCCTTTTCTTCTTCCTGTTCTTCTTCCTCTCTTCTTGATCTTCTTCCTGCTATCCTTCTTTCTTGTTCTTCTTCTGGTCATTCTTCTTACTATTGTTCGTATACTTTTCTTGTTATTCTTCTTTATGTTTTTCTTCTTCCTGTTCTTCGTCCTGTTCTTCTTCATGTTCCTCTTCTTTTTCGTCTTCCTGTTCTTTTGTGTTCTTCTTCTTCTTCTTTTTATTCTTCCTGTTCTTGTTCTTATCTTTTTCTCCTTCTTTATGTTTTTCGTCTTCCTGTCCTTCTTCTTCTTCTTGTTCTTTTTCTTTATTTCTTCTTTTTCATATTCTTCTTCTCCTTGTTCCTGTTCTTGTTCTGCTACTTGTTCTTGATCTTGCCGTTGTTCTTCTTCTCATTGTTGTTCTTCTTGATCTTCTTCGTCCACTTCT